GGACGGGAGTGTCCATGGTGTGATGAACAGCCGTAAGGCCACTCTAGCCCACTGTCGTGCTCTCACCGCCGCCTGCCATTACTCCGAGGAGGATGTGATGGTCTGCGTCGTCGATTGCCGTCGCGAAGCTGGCCTCTGGCACGCGGCACTTACGGTAACTTTGACTTTCGTCCCCCCCCCTGCTGTTGCCATGCAGTTAACTCCAAATGTACTGTCTGATTGATTCTGCGGCCATAGACCTCCATTAGTGCTTTTGGCATGATGGGAGCTCAACATTCCCTAACCAGACAAACACCCGAACGACGTTTAGTTCGTGTTGGTTAAGCAGGAGAGTGCAGTAAGCCTGTGACAGAATTGGCAGCTGCGGAATATCATGCGTCGAGTTAGGCCCTGCAGTGTAGTTGACTGAAAGTAAGGGACCACTGCGCCTAGGTGGTTAATTCTACGATTAACCGTATGCGCACAATAACGCAATATCACAGCTTCTTTTCTATTCTCCTAGAGCGTCTTTAACGGCATGCACGTTGTGTTTGTGCCTTACAATGTGCTACAAGTCGATCCTGGATCATGGATCAGAATGACTACAAAGTATCGAGGTGAGTGAAATACTATTGTGAGCTACATTTCACTTACCTATTATGCTGGGAGTTACGCCTATATTTCAGTTCTTTTTTGTGAAAACTTTATGATCGTAAATAAACCGAACTCCTTGATTGCATCGCTTACTCGTAAGCCTCCTAGTATTGGCCTCTCACATGTAGTTCTTTACGTGCATTGAGATCGTAGCCGATGAATCTGAGTTAAGCCAATTTTTCAACGTGGGCCAACATTCCTACCATACTGTTGCTTTTTCAAGCAGCCTTTCTGCATCCCTTTCGGCCATAGATAATGCCGGCTTATTCGTGGAATAATGGGACGTCGTGAGGACCCGTGTTCACGGTTCGAGGTCCACGGTCCACGGTCCCTTGGCGGAAACGGCCGTGTGCGAGAAGCCTTGTTGAATAGCAGGCAAGGTTCGCTGTGCTCAATTAGCATATGGACTTGCAACATTCGCTGGGAATCCGATTTACCTGATTTGTGCTGCAGCGACCGACTACATATTCCGCGGAGGTTAGAACACAGTTCCACTCCTCCACATGCGGACGCATCGAGTAGCCCGAAGATCGGTTTATAACCACGTCTTGTTCCGGAGTTTTCTGCACTTAACCACCTGGAGATACGGATGAAAAGCTCTGATCAGCATGTGTGCGAGTGGTGGTACTCAATAAGTTATTTGGTCACAGTCAATTGTTTCTGCCTGCAGGTGCACAAGGCGAAACTCACACAGGTAATTACTTACCGTTTCCGGACCCAGTACGATGAAAATGCTGATAGTAGAAAAGAAAGCAGTGCATCCTACGAAGCATCTTACTGTTCCGAGCTTTCGCACTCTTATTGAGCCCATCAACAACGAGATGAGGAAAGTAGGAAGCACCTCATATGCTCTCGCTATGCGATGGAATACGGTCCTTCCGTCTTATCGTGAAGCTCCCGAGTTTAGCAGACTTGCTGACGGTCGCAGCACGAAGCGCTATCTGTAACAGTGACGACTCACCGAAACAGGCAACGGAAACTCTATACCTTCTTGTCATCTACCGACTACATTTCTCAAGCACCACTATCCTGTGACTCGGGATATTTTTCGTCTTGGCCCGCAGAAACTCCTCGGCTAAACTGGTAGATCGTTGGGTATAGTAAACAGGCAGCACTAATTTGAAACCTCAGCATCTCATGGATAGATAGCTATAGTCAAATTTTTTCACATATGCGCAAGTTAGAAACCCCAAACTTCTTGCGTCTATTTTATTAGGCTGTATTTGGCGCGGTTCTTCCTAGTCCCACCCTCCGACCTTATAAACTTATCAGTCGATTAGCAAGGGAAAACGATATTCCTAGACATGTGACAGTTTGATAGTCGCAAAATTGCTGTCCATTGTGTGCCCTACATCATGGCGGAGGCAGGTACAGTTAAGTGCGGGACATCGATTGCACTTGGTCCTCCTTCACCTCGCCCCAAGCCCGGTGTCAAGATCGGGTCAAGTAGACCAATGGCGAGATCGAGAGCAGTGGCTGGCAATGCCATACAACTCATCTACGGGTGCCACACGGTGGCTGGCCCTCACACAGGTTATTTCAACTAAAAGGATCTAGACATGCGGAGGCTCCTTTGCAGTATACACCGACAAATGCACTTTAATGTGGGTTGTAAGGTGTAGTATTTCAAGCATATAATCAAAATGCATAAGTGGTGGTGATTTGGTTTTCGGTTAAGGAAGATGTCTAAAAAAACTTCGATACGGGGGATGTTTTTTGATATGCTCATATTCAGCCGACTTTTTGAAGTGTAAACGCCGCCACCGCCACTGTAAGTTCTCAGGCAATCCAACCTCACCATAAGACCTTAAGTAGTGAAATTCCGTGCTCTACTCATTATTGATTATAGGGCTGGCTGCATAATCTTTCGACAATTTTGCATCGTTTAAATGCTGTCAGTCATGTTACTTCGGTGATACCGCAGGTTTCGAAGAGGCTAGTCGTTGACATAACTTAGGATAGTGGAGAAATTCCACTGTCGTTGGGATGGAGTCGTCTGTGCACTTACTGCCCGTCTTATATCGCTGTCATTCGCAGTATTAATTTGTTGACTCTCATTTCCCCGTTATTGCAAATCCTATAATTCTCTAGAGTTTGGCGAAATTGAGAGTGTCAGCCCTCAGCCACGCTCTTCAACAGCAGACTGACTCTTAATTTCGCAGAGGATGCTCCAAAGAGGGTATAACACTAGGACACTTCAGGCGACCTAAATTCATAATTCGTATTTCCTCAACGTATGACTGCCTTACCTATGATCAATAATCGGCTCAGAGAGTCTGTACGAAAGCTGGAGCTAACTTCTAAACAGATTAACAATACTAGACGAAATTAGCCCTACAGCCGAAAGGAGGCGGAGATCGGCGCACTGACAAATTCCTGCACAGTTATCTAATTTGTTTTTCTGGACCGCTTTTATAAGAGTCATCAGCTAACCGGCAGTTCCGGTGCGCATTTGCATCTGCCAACACACGCACACCTATCAGACATAGTAAATTAAAGAAAATTCGCCGTCGCCTTGCTGCCCTTTTTGTCTGCACTCTTATGCTTACCTTTTTTTTCTATCCAATTCGCCATTCGTCGCCGTATATTCGCGTCGGCGTCTCCAGCCTCCGTAGCCATCGTTAAGAGTCGTGACTTACACTGGGCGGTGCTGGCCGATCGTGAACATTCCTACGCCAATCTCTCCTCCCTGCGCGCTATTTTTGTAACGGACGGACACAATCCCTGTAAGTACTCTGCCCCTTTTCCCTCCTCATACTTTGCCCTCCTGGCTCGTTGCAGCTAATTAACTACCCGGTTGCACACGTCCGTATTTTGACTGACTGCGAGCCTCGTGAGTAGCAGAGTTCTGCTGGACGCCCGCATAAGAAGAGGACTTGCGTGTCCTGTAACAGTCGCGAGCATCCTTTGCAAGCCCCCAACCCGGCAACATGTGCTTTTTAACAGTTTGTAAGTAGAGTTTGCTGTTTTACTCAAGCAAGGATCCTCTCG